GATGAGATTATATAAATTTCAGGGTGTGTCCACTGTCGCAGTGCAATGTGTTATATGACATTTTCTCTTACTCCAATCTCTGCTTAGCAGAAGCTGATACTATTTTAATCTGGCTAAGACTTGGAAAAATATAATAGAACTAATTCTTTCCAAAATTATTCAGAAATATCTCTTCATATCAATATGCAAGACCAACCCGACGAAATCACCTTATGGCTTATTAAAGCACAGCGCAGGCTGTATCGAGAAGCTCTTCGCGGCGATAGATGCGACCTGAGAGTTCTTGTTGGACATGCGAATTTCCTTGATCACATACGAACATATCCTGTTATTCCAAGAAATATAACAAGCGACCGAGCCCTGAGATGGGCAGTAAAGCAAGAAGTCTTGAAAATGGCCGACTTGCACGAAAGAGAGATTGAGAAAGGCAGACAACCTTCTCACTTGTGTTATGTCGAAATAGTCTCCGAGGACGAATGCTAGGGGACATGGAGACATGTCGTTGGCGAAGGAAGCTATTTGCCAAATTTGATCTTTCAAGCTGTCAAACACTTTGGTTTAAGGGAGGATTTTGATGAGCCAAAGTCAGTAAATATCATCTTCAAAGCACATTAGCAGATTCTTCAGATCTCTATCTCAGATAAAAATTGCTCATAATTCTGATATATATGCTAAATTATAATCAGCGAATTATATAATATCAATAAATGCACATATATAGTACAATTTAAAGAAAATCATGCTGAGTGAAAACTTATAATATCAATAAGACTAGTATTTCCGAATACCAGGATCCAAAAGCCTTTATTATGGCCCCGCTTGTCAAAGATTACATGAATAAACTGCTGCAAGAGATTTCCGGCCCAGTTGGCAAAGCTATTGACAGACTAACTTTTACAAATGATTGGGTACTTGGCTGATATTGCTACCCCCCCCCCCCCCCTCAAGGCTGGCGAAGCCCCTGAAAAGGGCTATAATAGGGGTATGCAGGTTGGCCGCTGTGGGCTGCTGTATTTGGGATTAGGTAGTCGTTCACGTTCGGGTGCGGGTATTCAGGCTGAGACATAGTCTTGAATTGGAATCGGTTTGCTTTTCGGGCTTTCAGGCTTTCTGGTTAACTTAGGGGATATCTTAAAAGACTTACTGCTTCACTTTGATTGTGCGGAGAACCAATCAGTAAGCCCAGAAAAAATAAGAATAGTGCTTATGCTAGTGATGTCCCAGATTTGAAAAATCATAAAGACTCCTAATATGACAGTTGTGCAATAGAAAATAAATTCTATATTTATATATAGAATTGACGCAAAATGCGAACAATATAGTGAAAGAAGTACATAATATTAGTGAGAAACTTAAAAAGCTTAATAAGGGATATATAGACAGATATTATGGTGGGAGAGATGGCTATGGTGGCAGGGACGGAGGCAGTGGAATTTGGTAAGGCAGCCGCAGCTATCACAAGACTAATCAGAAGCAAGGGAGTATAGCAACAAGTGGTCGAGGACGAAACCATCCAAGGAGGTAATGCATCCGACGCCGTACGAAAAGCCCTGCAAGTGCTCGTGTGATTTGGCTTGAAGCTGGAATTATTTGTTGTCGACATATCGATATCAGCTACTGAATGCAATATGAGCCTGTGTGTCTCGTCGACAAAGGAGTGTTCCACTGAGATCTGTTAGTTGTGAAGGTGATTTTGAACAAGAGTCTTACATAAAACAGGCTTTAGGACGTTATCGACACGTAGCGTTAATTATTGAGCCTTTTCATATATGTCCATGTTTGATGAGAGGTGTGCAAGGGCGGATTGATAATCCTCAACAGGTGCTCTTTCCCAGCTGACAGCCGATGAGTAACAGTGCCTACTGAAGTGTCGCCGGGACTCACGTGGATGCGGAAACCAACAAACAAAGAAGCCCAACGAGGGGCCGCGAGGCTCGCGTGATCGAACTGAAGCATTCGATGATCGACCGCCACCTGGTACTGATGCGCAGAATATTTTAGATTTTCGACCTGGTATTTTGGGTAGATGGTACCGCATTCGCAATCTCTTGCACTATGTGATTGATAGATGTGCCCTTCTCATGCAACCGCGCAAATGCGTAGCAGCAGATTCGCTGAAAAAATTGCTGGATCTCTATCGTCTTGTCGCTTCTCTGAAGAGCAAGAGAGTGATAATCACACAGTTGGAACCACTTCCCTGATGTACTTCGAGCGCGGTGCTCGTTTCCTTGAAAACTCTTATAGTTGCCTCGCAAGAGTAGGCATCGATGAGCTTGGTGGATGTAGAGGACAGTGTTGGTGTGGGTGCGTCCAGTGATGGCTGGCAGCGAGCTTCTGGATCGATCTGGCTGATGGACGAGCGAGATGCTGTCCTGGAGTACGTTCGCACTCGAGGTGCTGAGCCAGATACGCGTCTTTTACCTTTTGTTTGAATCACAGGTTGCTGGAGCTGGGGTGTTGCTGAAAGGGTAGCCCATGTTTGTGTTAGAGGAAGAGGTAAGGTTCCTCAATCCGGATCCGTTTTAATGTCTCAATCTTGGGAGGCAAAGGTGAGATGCACTTGCAAAAGTAGATCAGGCAACAACTTACCTTGGCATTTGTAAGGTTGTGGTACTGTCCAGTTGAGAGTTTGTGGCAAAAGCATTACATGCTGTGGATTTGTTGGAATTGGATCAGATTCAGTTGTGAGATTGCTGCCTTTTCAAGCCATTCCCGATTTATAATTAAGAGATCTGTTCTCTTAATGTCGAAGCACGGGGTTTTTGATCAACCCACTTTTTGATCAGTGCACCGTTTTTGACACCTTGAGCTTCAACTCATATATTTTACTGTAAAAAAGGATCTATCTGCCAATTAATCTGCATGCCTGGATAATTTACATCTTCATCTGTTGATGAGGTTATTAATTTAGCTGTAACTGCCTGATTGGGCTGTATTCTTGGTGTTTTATCTGCCTCATTGCCATCCAGCATACCCATTGCAATTTGTGCTGCCTTGATATTAGCAATTGATGCAAACTGAATCCGAGGATCATAATCGACTTTTCGTTTTTTAGTTGTCTGTACTGTATCCTCAAGTTGTCGCTTGAGCACTCGAACCTCTTCTGATAACAAGGCAATCATAGTGTCTTTGAAACCGGCGGATTTGACTACCTTACGAACGGTTTCACCGGTCTTAGATGGTGTCATAGTACGTATCAGACGGCTGTAGTCGCTAGGCTTAGTTGGTGTTGGTATTCCTAGGTAGTTACTTTGGCATAGTACTGTCTGAGCTTGTACTGGTGGTGCTTGTTGTACTTGTGATGACTGTAGTGTCTTTTCAGGGCATAGTGGATGAATGCCAGTGCACTTGAAGCCATTCAGAATATTTTCTTTTGTAAGCTGAGACCTTGCTGCGTGATAGCATGCAATGAAGCTATGCTTTTTGACCTCAATTCCATCATCTAAGGCCACAAGATTGGAAACTTGAGCCCGATATGCTCGCTTGATGTATCCAAAGACTGTAAGGTCCAATGGTTGAAGGATATGAGATGTATGTGGTGGTAAGAAGATCAGATGGATGTTGCTCAAGTATGCCTGGTACATAAACTCAACTGTACAGCGAGATCCATGCTCATCACAGATAAGGATGCGTGGCTTAGAGGGGTCAGTAGGTGCTGTTTGAGGGATGAAGATGCGAGTAAGCCAATCAACAATTTAGCCTAGTTCAAGAAAGAATTAGAACTAGTCATTTCGGCTAAATATTGGTGCGGTCTTAAAATTTTTGTTGCCTTCCGCCGTCAGCCCTCGAGAATCTCAACTGCAACGTGAATCCAAGTTTAAAATTATGCGAAACGTGACAATACGACTGATCCTGTGCATAAGAACACTCTCTAGTACGAACAAGGTAAAAATGTGTAATGCGGAGGGCGGTACAGAACCCAATCTGTCATACTGTTCTACTATGCCTGCACAGCGCTGCTACTTGCGTTAATCTGCTGCGCGTTCCTGATTCTCAACTCTCAAGGTAGTAAGATCCTGAAGATTTAAGTATCCACAAAGCTCATGGCGTTCACATCTTGACATGCTGGACTCGTCACTGCTGTGCAGAAAGTGTCACTATAATGATAGCAATTGGAAGCTCTACGGAAATGACCTTGAAAGTCCTACTATATTATTTACACCCTTTTCTTCTTCTTCTTTTGTATTTCGTTCCTTTCACGCGACATTTCGATGCCCCAAAAGAATATCAGACAAGATGCATGGCTGTTTGCCTTATGTTCCTCATGGCTTTCAGCTACGTTACGGAAGTCAAAATTATGCTATGCCGTTCTGCAATGCAGAAGGGATGGTGGCCATCGAAGCATGTCGTTTTGCATCTGATCGCGTCATTCCTGGTATGGACCACTCTGGAACTGATTTCTCTGGGCACATCCAAACTCTTCTGGCCCAGGTATTATCGACCCTAGATCCTCAGCTGTCTCTTTGAAGGTATCTTTTCCATTCTAGCGGCTGTTTCATTCTCCCATGCACAAGAAAGTTGCTACAATATCATCCTGTTAGCCATTCAAATTTTCAGAGTCCTCTGCAGTATTATGCTAGGACTTCAAACGAGCTTCCAAACTGTTGAGCAACCAGTTCAGAATAATGAGGAAAGTTGTCGGCCTCTGGAAAACGACTCAACCGCACAAGCCGGATATGGGATAACAACATCAACAACTACCGCAACTGAGAGAGAAAATGGCCATACAATAGCCAGAAAGTACCAACGCAAGCGCTTAGAAGAGCAAGGCTGGCTTGCCTACATCAAAGTATTCCGCGTCTTCCTACCGTGTCTCTTACCAACCGGAGATGTACGAGGAAGACTCTGCATGGCCTTTTTGATTCTCGACCTTGTCATCAATAGATTCTTCAGAGTCTTGGAACAATTCTGGACCCCTAGGAGTAATTAAGAACAAGGCTCTCATGGAAGTGCGGAACTTTTCATACCGAGAAGTCTGCCAGCTTGCCTTTACGCATGTTATGGCACTGTCCATGGATTTCCATTGTGACAAAGACTCTGCAGAGGTTATCAAAGCTGTTGAACAGGGCAATTCCATCCGCGATCTCGCAAAACTGTTGTTTCTTGATATACCTCCCGTTTTCGTTGACCTTGTCGTAGCTGTTTGCTACAACATATCTTTGTTTGATGGACACGTAGCCTTCGCAACCCTTGTTGTTGGCATTTTATACGTTTGTATTACAATTAAGCTTACCAACTTGACACAACCGCGGCGACGAATCTATAAAGAGACATGTCGGGCTGAGAGCAACATTGTTAACGAGTCTTTAAGAAACTGGCAGACAGTCTCATACTTCAATCGCTTTGCACATGAGAAACAACGTTACATGAGGGTCGTTCAAGACTCAGTTGATGCCAAATGAGCGTACCGAGACTGCATGAACTCAGGCAATGCAGTTGAAACACTGATCATGCTTCTGGGTTTGTTCAGCGCATCACTTCTTGCCATTCGAAAGATCTCGTCTGGAGAGGCTTCCGCTGGGAGCTTTGTAACCCTTGGTACCTTCTGGGCTACGATGACCTACCCACTTGAGATGATAGTATGGTCTCATGCTAACATTACATCGATATTTATTGATGCAGAACGCCTCTTGCAGTTACTCCGTACTAAACCATCAATTTTGAATCTCCCGGGTTCAAATGACCTCATTGTGCATTTTGGGAAGGTTGAGTTCTGCAACGTCGAGTTTTCCTACAGTTCATCAGGGAAGAAGATTCTCAACAGTATCAGCTTTGAGGCAATACCTGGCAAAATGGTTGCCTTTGTTGGTGAGATAGGAGCCGGAAAGTCGACGATCCTCAAATTACTCTGCCGTTTCTATGATGCAACTGGAGGATCTATCTCGATTGACAATCAAGACTTACGCAATGTTACTCTCGACAGCATATGGGATGCTCTGGGCGTTGTTCCTCAGGATCCTTGTCTATTCATTCAGTCAATCTTGGAGAATATTCGATACTCAAGACCAGATGCAACTGACGATCAAATTTTTGAAGCGTGCAGACGAGCCGCGATACATGACAATATCATGTCATTCCCTGATGGCTACAACACTAAAGTCGGTGAAAGAGGCGTGAAACTCTCAGGTGGGGAACTTCAGCGGTTAGCAATCGCACGAGTGCTAGTGAAGGACCCGAAGATCGTCATCCTTGACGAGGCTACGAGTGCCATGGACTCTTCGACCGAGGCACGGATCCAGAAAGCTTTTGACATCCTTAGGCCCGGACTAACGATGTTTGTTGTAGCTCATCGACTGTCCACTATTACTGACGCAGATGTGATTCTCTTCCTCAAGGATGGAAAAATTGTTGAGCAAGGTACGCATGACGAATAAATCAAAAACAAAGGAGAGTACTTCAAATTATGGAAAATCCAGGACCGACGAAAATGGGACAAGTTTGCCGAACGCTACCCTGAGACCGTGAACGAAGCTATAGGGTCCCGGAGTGACGTAACCTCTCAGACTTTTGACTGAGTTTCTGCATTTCTGCTTCCAAGTCCTGCGGGCAGAACATCTTGCAGAGGTTCGTCATATCATCGTAGACCCTACGAGATGGTAATCAGTCGGCCACATATCTCCCAGTGATTCTTTGCTTACACTTGACGTTGTTGATGTTGTTATCCCATATCCGGCTTGTGCGGTTGAGTCGTTTTCCAGAGGCCGACAACTTTCCTCATTATTCTGAACTGGTTGCTCAACAGTTTAGAAGCTCATTTGAAGTCCTAGCATAATGCTGCAGAGGACTCTGAAAATTTGAATAACCAACAGGGTGATATTATAGCGACTTTCTTGTGCATGGGAGAATGAAACAGCCACTAGAATGGAAAAGATACCTTCAAAGAGACAGCTGAGGATCCAGGGTCGATAATACCTGGGCTAGAAGAGTTCAGATGTGCCTAGAGAAATCAGTTCCAGAGTGGTCCATACCAGGAATGACGCGATCGGATGCAAAACGACGTGCTTCGATGGCCGTTCAAAGGAGTTTAGCGCCAGCCATTCAAACGCCACATTGCGAAGCGCCTAAGCCCTACTAAGGTAACTCCCACTCATGCCAAGTCCTGCATCTTGTTTATATACTTTACTTATATGCTTTGTCTTACTTGCCTAGTATTACCAACTAAGTTACCTCCATTTTACCAACCTTGCCTACCTAGCAGAGTCTCTGTTCTTAAGCCCTCGAGCCTCAGGATGTCCCTATGCCTTACCACGGAGCGGCCTTGACAACAAGTGTCCTGAGCTCCCAGGGTTGGTCGGCCCCAACACCTTTACAGGCCCTACACAAGGCGCACAGGGATCGAATAGAAAAAGCCGCAGGGTCAGCAGAGTCCCTCTGGAGGATCGCCAAGTAGGCTCGCAATAGAGAGAACCAACCCCCAAGCATGACACCTATGATCAAGTGCACACGCACCAGAAAAGAAGCTATAAAACCAGAGGAGAAGGCCGACCTTCTACAAGAGACCTTCTTCCCAGAACCTCCTGAGGCAGACCTAAGAGATATAGAGAGTGCAGAGTACCAAGACCAGATCCTGATGCCTAATATCACCGAGAATGAAGTTCTCGATACTATTTAAACTGCAGCACCACTTAAAGCTCTAGGGCCGGATGGCATCCTAAATAAAGCCCTATAAGCAGCCTTATCTATGCTGGCGGGATATCTAACTATAATTATAAACCAGAGCATGAAGTTAGGATACTGTCCCATATACTTTCAGACATCTATTGTTGGAAACTGTTTGAAAAAGTGAATTGTATTGTTTTAGAATTGAAGTTGCTACAGGATGTAAATATAAAGACATCTTATCTATGGTACTGTCGCACTGTGGCGCTAGCGATGCTAGGCAGTGCTGAGGACTGCTGTGCGCGGCGTATCAACGAGCTACAGAAGATGATAGATGGATGGAAGACTAGATAATTGAGAGGATATGAGGTGGTCCTTTTATTGACTATCTGCGATGTGAGAGATCATTGTGGTTGTGGTTGTATCTTCTTAAGTGATCTCGCTCAAGCGATGGCTAAATAAGGCGCTAGATTAGTCAGGTGCACGTGACCTGTGACAACTAGTCTGTAGGAGGTAATCTCCACCAGTCATGATGGAAAAAAGACCACAACAGCGAGAACGTGAACTCTTGGTATCTAGTAGTGCTAACTGAGCATACACACTCCTCTACCTAGTAGTTAGACGAATTGACAGGCCTGACGCGGCGCCCAACGCGTGAAAAACAGGTATGTTGATTCCCTGGCCCAGGGGGGAGTCCTGGTCAAACAGACTGCCAGAGCACGCTACCTAACTAGCGAAGCACCTTCAAGCGGCAGCGCAATTCGTACACAGCACGTCCAGCCACACTATTAAACTAGACTTGGTAAAATTGATAATCTTCACAGCCCTTAACTTTATGATAAAGGTACAATAGGCCCTGGATCTCGTCCATATCTACGATGCAGTCTGTGCTATCCAAACGCAGCTCTAAATAGGGACAGAAGACTTAGCGAGAGAACTAGCAGTGATAAAAGAGGAAATACGCGGCCTTATTATAGAAGCCTAAAAGACAGCAATCATCAGCGAAGAGGCAAAAGCAGCAGCCCTCGAGGCAGCGGCGATTAGCAGGACCACGGCAGATATCGCGAAGGACATTAAGAACAAAGGAATATGACCCCAGGAAGGGACACCTATAAACTACACTGCAGCGGCAGCCAGAGGCGCTCACAGCGTACAGACGCATGAGCAAAGGATGCCTCCCACCACGCTGACCCAGCGGGAGATCATAGTGAACATTAGGGACAGCCACACGATCAAACGACTACGAGCAATGAACCCGCGGACTCTTAAAACATATGTTAACTATGTGATTATCTAAAGCAAGAACGAACACATCACAGGTATCACCATAATATTAGCCAACCAATTAAAGAGCGGAGACCTCCGTATCCGAACAACAACAGGTAAGGAGACCCAACTCCTGCAGCAATTCACAGACGACTGGGTAGCATGAGTTGGCAGCGGGTCCTCGGTCAGGAACCCGACCTACAGCGTCTTAGTACATGGCATACAGGTTAGTACAGTCAACATGGACAAGCAGGAGGACATGAGAAATGCCATCCTACAAGACAATAAACCGTTTATCCTAAACGCAGAGATCAAATACATCAGATAGCTTACCCGGCGGGCACCAAGCAAAGCGATATTGTTAATTATTATAGAGTTTATAAGGCCAGAGGATGCTAATAAGATTATCAATAAGGGCCTAGTGTGGCAAGGAGAGATATGCCAGAGCGAGCGCTATAAACAGCAGTGCCGCCTGAAGCAGTGTTTCAAGTGTCAGGCATATAGCTATATAGGAACCCAATATAAAGCAGCAAAGACATATGGCTACTGCGCGCTAGAACATGACTCAAGGGACTGCCCATCAAAAGGAGACCGGAAAGCCTCCAGGAAATGTGCAGCATGCCGCGGTACACATGAGGCGTGGAACCGCCTGTGCCCAACCAGGAAAAACGAGCTGGCCAAGGTAAGGGTGGCCTACGCCAATAGGCCGCGATACCATGCAGTTGCGCCAATAACAGGAAGTGACTCACCAGCTACTGCCGCGGGCCCTACACTACAGAGGACAAGGTCAACATGGGATACGAAAACGACCCAAGCCTCCACGAGAGGCCAGAAGAGGGCAGCGCCAGAGGGGAAAGAAAACGAGGAGTCGAATCAGCAACCTCAGAGGCCACTAAAGCCTAGCAGGAAAGCGCTGGAAATGATAGACTCAAATATCATAATACACCACAGCACCTAAAATATAGACCTCAATAGCGACAGTAACTAATAATAAAATAAAACCAATTAAAGATACTGCAGTATAATATCCATAAATCAAAGAACCAGGTCATAGCAACGCTACTCCGAGACCCAAGCATAGCAACCTATAATATAATAGCTATCCAAGAACCCTGGCGCAATCCATTCAAGGACACGACACACCACCCAGCAAAGAACACCTTCCACCTGTGCTATCCAACAGACAGCACTAAGGAATACCTGGCGTGGGTATGCTTCTTCATCAACAAGCGCCTAGACCATGCCCGCTGGCAAATCAAACAATATATACAAGACCTATGCATACTGCAGATCCTTATAGGTGAAGAGGTGGCAGAAAACGAACTGATATTGCATAATATATATAACCCAGGCTAAGGCGAAGACCAGGCAGCCACCCTCCCAGTATTACAAGCCCAGCTAGAGAAACATGCTACAAAAGAGCAGATAGCGCTTAGTGACTTCAACCTATACTACTAAATATAGGGAGGCCCAGGAGTTATAAGAGAAGAGCCAGAGTCAGAGGAACTCATCGAGATTATGGACGACCTCAATATAATAAATATGCTGGAACCAGGCACAATCACATTTAACAACAGCCTTGGCCAGACGACCATAGACCTCTGTTGGATGACGCTAGGTCTGGTCAACCAGATAGTCCACTATAGGATAGATAAGGATATTAACCATAACTCTGACCACCTACTGATCAGCATTATGCTAGATATGGGGATCTAAATAATAGAACCCAAACCCAAATACCAGTAAAAACACCTAGATAAGGAAAAGTTCTGTGAGGCTCTAAAGGAGGTCCTCACACCCAAGCGCAGGCCAGACACAAAGAAAGTGCTAGATGAGTATATCCAGTATATTTTCACCGCAATCCATACAGTAACAGAAAGGGTCCTACCTCTAAGGAGACCTAGCCCTAAGATAAAGGAGGGGTGGGACGACACATGCCGAGAAACACTTGCAGAAATGAAGCGCCTCCGCAGAAGGTACTCCCGGCGGCCGACAGCTAAAGCGTGGAAGGACTATTAAGAAGGTAGGAAACTCAAGGGCAAGACCATCGCAAGAGCACTCCAAAAAGCACACAGAGACCGGGTGACAAAAGCAGCGAGCTCGGCCGAGTCACTATAGAAGGTCGCAAAATAGGCACGCAACAGGGGTAACCAAGCCCCAAGCATCACACCCACAATATAGAGGCCTGATACCCTAGGGGACACCCTAGCAACAGAACTACAAGGAAAGGCAGATATATTCAAAGAGACCTTCTTCCTGCCCCTGCTGGAGGCGGATCTAAGCGACATAGAAGGGGCATCCTATTCAGGGCAGGTACAGATGCCAAAGGTTACCAGAAAGGAAGTATTGGAGGCAATCCATGCAGCAGCCCCGCTAAAGGCCCCAGGGCTAGATAGGATATCTAACAGGGCACTACAGGCAGCCACAGGAATGCTGGTACCGTTCCTCACGACCACCATTAACCAAAGCCTAAAATTAGGCTACTTTCCGGTCTACTTTTATGAGTCAACCACAGTGGTTTTGCGAAAGCCTGGAAAGGATAACTATACAACCCCTAAAGCGTACCGCCCGATCGCACTATTAAACATAATTAGGAAGGTTATAGATGCAGTCATTGCCCGGCGACTTAGCTTTCTGGTAGAGGAATACCAGGTGCTCCCCAGCCGACATGTTGGGGGCCGAAAACTGCGGTTTACAGAACACGCGATACATGCTATAATCAAACATATTTATAAAGTATAGAACAAAGGTGAAGTGAGAGTAGCTAGCCTTCTCCTTCTGGACGTGATAGGGGCATTTGACAATATCTCTGCCAAGCGTCTCCTACACAACCTCTGGAAGCAAAAGGTAGATGAAACAATAGTACGCAGGGTTGCGAGCTTCTTAAGCAGCAGGTGCACCAGAATCATGCTCAACGGATACGAATCTGAGGAGTACTAGATTGAAATAGGTATCCCGCAGGGCTCACCCCTTTCACCCATCTTATATATCTTCTATAATGCAGATCTTATAGAGGAGTGCAGGATAGAGGATATGACAACAGTAGGGTACATTGATGACACTGCGACCCTGGCATACAGTAATTCTATAGATAAGACATGTGGGAAGATTGAACGAGTACTCGAAAAGGCCCACCACTGGGCACAAACCTATGGCGCGAAATTCGCACCAGAAAAGTTCCAGCTAGTGCACTTCGCAAGAGCACGGAGCCACATCAACCTTAAAAGACCGCTAGTAACCTAGGGGGTCACTATCCTGGCTAAGAGTATATATAAGTACCTCAGGGTCATCATGGACCAAAAGCTTAAATAGAAGGAACACATCATAGAAATACGCCGGAAAGTCATAAAAATAATCGCCGCACTAAATTCCATCAGAGGCTCTACCAGGGGTGTAGGCCTACAAGACATGCGGAAAATCTATAGAGGCACGGTCGTGCCACAGATGATGTACGCATGCTCCGCCTGGTCAAACCCAGGAGGTGCAGAAGGTTCATACACGGCCGCCACGCTTAAAACACTCAAGACCCTCCAGGCTCAAGGCGCGAGAGCTATATGCGGGGCGTATAAGGCAACCTCACAGGCGGCCCTGGATATTGAAGCACACCTGCTCCCTATTAAGCATCAGATATAGAAGCACAACGCGGACACACTAGGCCAGATCCTTATAGTTGACAGCATGCCGGAGCTATCGAACGCCGGTAATAGAGATGACCCCCCCTCCTGACGTAGAACACCACAGATCAGCCCCCTATACTGGATCGCCCGCTGACTGCAAGAGCAGGGAGCTGTCGATCTTGAAAAGCATGAAAAGATAACGCCATTTATAGCGCCACCATGGCAGCAAGGACCTGTGGTACAGATTTTAATAAATGATGACGAAGCGCAGGCGACCCATTATAGGATCATGGCAGAGGAGGGTCAAGCCTGTATCTATATAGATGGGAGCCATATTGAAGGCCACACTGGAGCAGCGGCAATATAGCCAATGGAGGGTGAATCAAAAGGGGCCTACATAGGGCCTGAGACCACATCGACTGTCTATGCCGCAGAACTACAGGGCATCAACCTTGCCCTTGGGATGGTAAAAGACGCGGGTGTAAGGCTAGCCCGTTATAAGCAGGTGCACATATTCACAGACAACCAGGCCGCGATACGCGCCATAATACGACCTAAAGGCCGCTCTAGAGCATACATTACTAAGCAGATTATGCAGCGGCTCAAGCAACTACATAAAGATGGCCATACTATTACCATCCACTGGATCCCGGCTCACAAAGGGATAGATAGTAATAAAGAGGCAGACGTGGCCACGAAGACCGCCGCAGGGTGGGCAGAAAAAGGCACGGAGACCTGTAGGGCTCCAACGCCTCCCCGCCTACACCCGCTGAGAACCACGCTGAGGACGTGGGTTAATAAGACTGCCCGCACCCATTGGAATAGGAGCTGGCAACAGGAGATGAAAGGCAGAGCTACATACCGCCACACACCGCTACCAGATAAGAAGGTGCTACAGCTACACAAAGACCTAACTAAGGCTAAGAGCGCCTCCCTTGTATAAATAAGAACTGAGAAAATAGGTCTCTAAGACTTCCTCTTCTTCCGACGCGTACCAGGATTCGAGGACCCAGGATGCCCCTGTGGAGGAGGCCGCCAAACAGTCGGCCACGCGCTCCTGCGATGCCGACTGCTCCAGGACGAACGACAGATCGAATTTGGGAATCTACCAGGCAGAGAGGACCTACAGAAGATCCTCTCAACGCGCAAGCTAGCCATGAAAGCAATCGCACTTATAGAACAGGCAAGGGCCCTAGGGCAGAGGGCGCCGAGCGAGTAGATAAGCAGAGTATTAGGTGGAGACTGAAGGTATCACAGACAGCGAAATACAGGGCATGCCCCTCTAAGCCTATACACAGTGGAATTATTAGTACTAGAGCCAGTATTAATAAATGGTGACAGCCATTTGAAGGTTAAGGCAGATAGTAAGAGGGTGGGCGAAAGAGGAGACTGGCTACGTTTGTCGACTCTTTGAGACTACAAGCGTGGTGAAGAGGGACGTGATGGGTTACATGCCAAGGTTCTCGTTGGTCATGGCCTGTAACGTGTCGGTCACCTGGTGTCACAGGTCACGTGCACCTGACTAATCTAGCGCCTTATTTAGCCATCGCTTGAGCGAGATCACTTAAGAAGATACAACCACAACCAAAAACCACAACCCACAATGATCTCTCACATTGCAGATAGTCAATAAAAGGACCACCTCCTATCCTCTCAATTATCTAGTTTTCCATCCATCTATCATCTTCTGTAGCTCGTTAATACGCCGCGCACAGCAGTCCTCAGCACTGCCTAGCATCGCTAGTGCCACAGTGCGACACCTGGCGAAGCCCGCCTAACCGGGCATAGCTGCAGATGATTAGCGGCCAAAACCGAGTAGGAAACAATCAATCAATCAATGAGGCGAGTACATAGGAATCAATCACGGGACAATCAAAGGGACCTTTTTGGAAGAGCTTGGAAAACGAGTAGATCATCTACAGCAGGTGGAATCGCGCCATTGTCGACGTGCCGAGACCTTACAGTAACGCGCTAACACGTGGCTCGTGCACTATACCCAACCCCATCGGACATCAAGATGGTGGATGGAGAGGAGATAGTGGTGGTGAGCGCTTCAGAAGGGGTGAACACCAGGGGGAAGACATGTACAACATCCAAAAAGAAGGATCAAGCAGGAGCAAACGCCGCTATCCGCCTCCTAGAAACGTGCCAAAAGCTAGTCCAAAGCCAGCAGTCTAAGGGCAAAACAAAGACAATCAGCATTGACAGGAGCCTGTTTGAAGAGCTAATCGACTGAGTTAAACAATGCAAAAAGATTACTGAGGATAGCCTCAGTTTCAATAGCATAATAGTTAAGCAGTATCTTGAAACCTTCGAGACCAATCTAGTGGAAAGGATCAACTCTTCTGTTACAAACAAGCTATCTGTAGCGTTTGAAAATGCGCAGGTCGGTACAGAGGAAAGGCTGGCAGCCACAGTCGAAAAGTCAATCCAGAATGTAAAAATACCAGCGCCTACATGGGCTGCTGTTGCCTCACGCGGTATTGCAAGCTCCGCCAGCATCCCACTCTTGTAATCTATAGGAAGTAGTAGTCAGAGCGCGATTGGATCTACCAACTTATGTATTACCACCCCCCTAGTGCAACAGGAGGAGAGTATAAATGCAGGCACAAAGGAAAAGTTCACGAGATACATGGATGTGAAAGAGGCGACCAACTGGATCACCAGAGCCCTACAAAAGCATGAGACCATGAAGGAAACAGAGATAGCAGGAGTGGGCGTAATAAAGTTTGGCTATGTTATACGCTTTAAAAATGAGAAATCAAAGGAGATAGCCTCGAAACATGATGAATGGTTGGCAGACCTCCATCCAGAGACAAAGATTGACAGACCCTGATATGGCATTGTGGTCCATCGCACCCCAACCGAACAGGTCCAACTAGATGACAAGATAGAGGCGGCAACTAAGCTCCTAGAAGAGAACAACCTCACCTTAAAAGGCTACCGTATCACGGATATAGCCTGGCTTAAACACAAAGACGTACCCCTTGGAAAGCATGCCTCGCTGGGAATATGGTTTAACAGCCCTGGTGCAGTTAAGTGGGCAGTGCGCAATAGAGTTCTCTTTGGCAAGCAGTATATTGGCAGCGTTGAGCCATATGAGCCAAGAAGGAAGAGATGCCACCGGTGTGCAAGAATTGGACACCTAGCTTGGAATTGTAAAGAACAAAGAAGATGTGCACACTGCCTGGAAGACCATGACAAGAGCGAATGCCCAGAGGGAACTCAACCTCAATGCGCAGACTGTAACTAAGGACATCATATAGAAGCAGCTGAATGCACTAATCAGGCCACAAGATTTCCACATTTCCAATAATGACCACCCTATGAATATTACAATTGAACACTATAAGCTCTAGAGCATATATAGAAGCCCTAATTAACGACACACAGTCAGCGAAGCTTGACATACTCCTAATCCAAGAACCCTCAGTCTCATACTACAAAACACACACACAACACTGATGTTGGCAGCTATACCAACCAACCTCAGACAGAGAAGGACGGTGCCGCAGCCTCATATACGTCAACAAATGACTTGCTCCTCCGGCACATCGACAACTCCAGTGCAACAACCTGGATGTAACTAGAATATTGGTTAGCATACTAGCAGGGCCAGTTATGATCTTCTCAGTCTACATCCCGCCTATTGGGAGCACCCGCGAAGTAGCAGAGGGTGAAATGTAAGCCATCCTAGAGGCCATCAACAGTACTATTGCGTAGAACTCTCCTGCCACAGAAGATGCTTATAAGCTAATAATAGGTGGAGACTTCAATCGGCAAGATCTACTATGGGGAGGTGACAACATTCAGCCATATAGAGTAGGAGAAGCAGCCAGCCTCCTCAGTTTCATGGAGGAATATAGCCTATACCACCAACTACGACGAGGCGAACCAACGTGCTGGACTGTGACTCGGCCAGGGAGTAGAACCACACTTGACCTGACTTTAAGCAATATATCAGGTCGACTCAGAAAGTGCCACTTGTACTATGAAAACTACAGATCTGACCACCACGGCATTGTTTCAGAATGGAATTTCCCTGTGCAGCAGAGAGAGGAAAAACCACCACGCCGTTTGTATGAGCAGACAGACTGGGACAGCGTTGGCGACCTAATAATGCAACATATTAGAAGCTACACCAACATCGACACAAATGAATGGTTAGATAAGCTAGTGGAACACTTTATAAGGATAACAGCGGATGCAGTCGAAAAGCAAACCCCGCTAGCCAACCCATGCCCAGATTCCAAGCGTTGGTTCACCCCAGATCTGAAAGAGAAGCAACGACAGTACAATAAAGCACGGCGAAAGTGGCAAACATCCACAGCCAGACTAAGCCGCGAGCACCACGTCACCCAAGAACTGTTTGTATTAATGCAAGGCCGCAGGAAGGAATGGGCGAAGGCCATTGAACGAGCTAAATCCACACATTGGAAAGACTTCCTCGACCGAGCTGCAGACGGGAACCTTCTATGGAAGGCCGCGAAATACGCGGAACCAGGCATGGAATTGTAAAGAACAAAGAAGATGTGCACACTG